GCTATACACTCATCAACAATGATTCAAAGTGTTTGAGTATCATGTGAGCACAGCAATTGCTTAAACTTGAAAAAAGATGTTGCTGCTTTAACAAATTCAGTCCAGCTTTAATAAAAACAGAAGAAAGCAAATTAAATAATCCTATCTCTCATTTATATAAACTTCCATTCTATAGGTATAATACCAATATCAATGTTGCTTTTTATTCTTGCTGGCCTTATAAATATTAGCAAACAAGTACTGGTTCTTAATGATAGAAAAGTTACTTAAACGTTTTATTATCTACTATGCAGTAATTGTTACAAAAAGCATTTAAATACTGCAAATCTAATGTAAAGTATGAAAATAATTCAAAATAATATGTGTTCCACTGTCTGTTGATTCTAAAATAATATACAAAGTGATGGTGAGCAGTGAATACATTTTTCACATACACCTGGTATTTTGCCATTATTTAAGAAAGGATGAGAAGAAACTAAATGTACATTGTTTAATCGTGATGATAATGAATACCGTGTTTCCCCGAAAGTAAGCCCTAGAGCAGGACGGGGCGAGTCAGCCCAAATCTTACGTGCAATTGCCAGAGCACCCCCCTGGCCCTGGTCTGCCAGGGCCCTTCACCAGCGGTCGCCAGTGGAACTGGCCACTGCTGGTCCGACCTCTCCATCCGTCTGCTTGCCTGTGGCCGCAACAAACTAAACCCTTGGCAAGCCCCAGCCTCCGCCTGCCCTGCCTGCTGACCCTACTGCTGCTGGGACACCTCTTGGCCACATCAGGTGCCATGTGGCTGCCAGGTGGCTGCCCGTGCTGCTTTGGGCCTTGTGGGGCTCTTTGCCCTCCTGGCTGTGCTACTCTGGGCTGCCCTGCTGCCCAACATGGGGCGAGTCAACCCAGATCCAAAGTGCCGCCCTGCCAGAGCTGTTCAGTAGCGGCTGCCGGTGGAACCGTGCCGCCCACGCCTCCGTCTTTGGGCTGCTGAGCGCCAGCCTGCACGCCTACTTGGTGCTGCAGGCGCTGGACTAAGGGCTGAACCTGGCGCTCTTCAGACCTGGTGGCACTGCAGCTCTCATGCTGGCTGGGCGCTTTTGGCCTCTAACGGCTGCTTCTGCCGCATTGCCTTTGGCCCGACCGGCTGCTGCTGCCGCCACCATAAGGTGAGGAGTCAAGGCAGGTGGCGGTGGAGTTGCTTCCCTCCACCTGCCAGACACCTGCAGAAGCCGCGCAGGGTAAGATTGCCGCCCCCCTGCCCAGATGCACTAGCCTCCCCCAAGCATTTTTTTACTAACCTGTCTTTCAGCTGCATTGTGTTTCTCTGTTCACTTCTCAGCTTTTGTGCATGTTTGTGGGACAAAAAAAAAGGCTCAATCAGACTTTCTAACTTCTCGTGATTAGAAAGTCTAATTGAACTTTTCCCCCCCACAAACACATGGCGAAGGCTGAGAAGCGAAAAGAGAAACACAATGTAGTTGAAAGGCAGGTTAGTGGGGGAGGCTAGGGCATCTGGGTGGCGGGATGCGACAATCTTACCCTGCGTGGCTTTGGCAGGTATCTGGCAGGTGAAGGGAAGCAACTTCACCACCCACCATCACCTGCCTCGACTCCTGACCTTATGGTGGCAGCAGCAGCAGCCAGCCAGGCAGAAGGCGATCCAGCAGAAGCAGCCAGTAGAGGCCAAAAATGCCCAGCTGGCATGAGAGCTGCAGCGCTCGCGAGGGCCCGAAGAGCACCAGGTTCAGCCCTTAGCCCAGCGCCTGCAGCACCAAGTAGGCGTGCAGGCTGGTGCTCAGCAGCCCAAAGATGGAGGCGTGGGCGGCATGGTTCCACCGGTGGCCGCTGGCAGGCCAGTGGCGAGGTGGCACTCCGGATCTGGGCTGACTCACCCACCAGGTGCAGTGCCCTTCCTACCACCCTCCACGGCCGCACTGGTACTATACTCTCGCTACCGCATTGCTTCTCCACCCCATGCACAGGCCCCATCCCACCTCTGCGCGCTTGCGGCCTACTGATACTAGTACCAGCAAAAAGTAAGCCCTCCCTGAAACTAAAACCTAGTGCTACTTCAGAGCCCAAAATAAAGTAAGACCAGGTCTTATTTTCAGGGAAACACGGTAGTAAGGTTAATCGTTGTTTCCGCAGTTGCAATATTGATAAAATTTCCCAATAGACTGTATTACATTATTTTTTCTTCCTAGCATTTTCCCATTAGTGCAGGGCCCACTTTTTGTGGCTCAACAGAATGTTGATTGCTTGGTTACTCTCCTTAGAAAAATATTTGCACAGATGATATACCATAAAATTACAGAAGGTTGCTTCAGATTTTTAAAGAACTTAACAAATAACATTTATTTTGGCTGTGCATTTCAGCATCTTCACTGACTTTAAATGGCAATAGTAGAACATACTTAACTGGTGGAGCAAGGAACATGTTAGCAAAAAACAGAATAACGATCCAGATTTTGATGTTTGAATGTTTTAAAAACCTACAACTGAAGCTTCAAAAATGGAATTAATATTAATCCATTTCTGTACATTTTGTTTTAGCAGATTCATTGTAGAAACTGATTGTGTTTTTATGAAAACACACTAAATAGCACATTTAATAAAGCACAATAAATTTAAAATATACTATTAATATCACAGGAAACATTACAGGTAGCCAATAGTACCTTGGTGGATTCCAAAGAATATAGTCTTTTTAATTATGTTAAGATAATCAAATGCTATACTTGAATACTTCATTTTACTCAAAAGCTCTCAGTATGGAGATAAGTGAATGCCAGGAGGTATTGCCTATGACTATTGAAAGTTAAGGCATTTACATTGGTACTTTTCCATCTATTATATGTATCACTATATCATAATCAAGATGTGTATTAAGTAAATATGATGGCAGCTGAATTCTAGTGATCTGCATCTATACATCAAGAGAATAAATATTAGACTTTTGCATCTCTACTTTGGAATATCTAATGATATTGATGTAAATGGAAGCTTTAGATCTATCCTATTTGATTAATTTGTTAGAGCTTGTACTTTCAATCAGATGTTCCACATTCATAGTATCCTTACTATCTATAACAGTTGTAAAAATGCTTCCATAAACTAAACTTGTTATATTTCAGTTATTCTGAGTGAAATTTTATGTTTGTGTGTATGTATGGAAAATATGGGTTATATTTGGTAATCTGATAAATTATCACATTCATCATAGTATAGGATATATTGCTAGCTGCCCTCAAAAATCAATTTTTTTCCTGCTAAGTAAAAAAGTTAAATCATGGCAACTGGGCCAAAGTTTATTAAAACGAATAAATGTAATAATAAAGTTTATTAAATTTAATAAACTTTGGTCCAGTTGCCGTGATTTAACCTTTTTACATGCTTTTGACCTGGATGATTGAGTCTACATTTACATATATTTCCTACTATATTTGTAATTGAAACAGTTATTGTTTAAACAGCCATCATTATGTTTAGTTTAGATGCTTCACACATAGTTCTGCTTTATTCTGTCTGCTAATGACAATCCTCTGGCTAATTTAGATATCAAAAACCATAGCTAGGTACCATTCAAAATATTACGTAATATTGTTTAAGTTTACCAAGTTTTTAGAATTCTAAAAAATCCTACAATAAGACAATAAGGGGTAAGTGAAAAAATCCAAAAACAAGACCAGATGTCTGTAATTAAATCGATCTAAGATGGAAGTTGTGGATGAAGCATGTTAGGTTATACTTAGCATTCAGAAACAAATTAATGGCTGCTATTCCTTGCATAAAACACAGTGTAGGTCAGGTTTAAGGTTAGGTATTTGGAATTGTCTGGGCTTGCATTTTTTTTTTTTGCAGATGCTTCATTACCTCATTTACTCCCAAGACTCCAACACAGAGATTATTGACTTTCAATCTATCCTATTTATGGGGTGCAGGGGAGACACCTAACACAAAAGCACCTGACTATGCTTTTTTTTTTTAAGTATCTGCTTTAATCCCCTCTATGGGAGATATGTTGATTGCTGAACAGTCCTGGAGAATTCAACATTTGTCGCTTTTTGGTTGAATCTTAATAACTAGGCATTTCCTTTATTGACCAACAGTTATGTTTGTTTTCTTACATTTAAAAGAAATTAATAACTTTTAATTATAACAAAGTTATAAATACTAAATCTATAATGGATTTCTTAAAATTTTCAAATAAAAACTTTTAAATATACTTCTCAGTTTTGAGACAAGGAAATTCCCAGATTCAAAATAGAAGAACCACCATATTGTACACTTTTATATTTCTCATTTTAGCAGGTAACTGCACTTTCATTTTTCCTTTCTTTTAAGTGGAGGACATGCCTTGGGTGGCCTTATCTGGATCCATGGAAGTGCTCCGATCCAGTTGCACTGCTTAACTTTTTAATTTTCCATAATTTCCTAATATGTTTGGTTTGGGTACTATATGAAATTTAAATAATGGCTAGATTCAGGTACACCTTTGATGCCAGAGAATGCTGGATCAAGGGGAAAAAACACTTCAGAGGATCTAAAGGCTAACAGTAATATCAATTGCCAATGATATCAGATACTGATATCAAATATATTTCATTTTTAGCCTATTAATCAGAGTATTAAGAATGCAAACCAGAAAGTAGAAGAGCAAATAGGTAAAAGTTGGTATAATAAATTTAGCTCTTGAAGTGCTGAAATCTAAAATAGCTCTACATTAGTTTGAACCAAGAAATAGATTTGGCCTTTATGACAGACCATGCCCAATGAATAGGCATGACTAGAATAAGGAACCTAGACTGGTAAGTACTCTTCTGGCCTTCAGGAAGGACCTGAAGATTTAGTTGTACCATTGTTCTTAGGTCTGCAGTAGTGGTGAGAACTAGCAATGGCTGTATTAAATGGATAAATGATTTATATTTACCAGCTGTGATTTATGTTTTATTGAATTTATAATCATGGTTTCAGAATAGCTGTATGCTGTTTTATTTTTTTACTGTTTATTTTAATTGTTGTGAGTCACACCCAGAGTCATACTTGTAAGTTAATGAATAAAAAGGTTTACATTTGATTAATTTAAAATTGTCATTAATAGCATTTAAAATCCGAAGAGTAATTATAATTTGCTGACAACTTTCAGAGGACTGTATATATGTGATTGTGGCTCTGAGGCCTCTTTATTGAGTCTTGTATGCTAAGTGAATCTATATCTAATTGATTGCAAGCAAATCTATTCAAAAGAGATTTATCCTGAATAAAGTTTACTGAATTCAGTGGAACTTGTTATCTGCTAAATTTGTTTAAAACTGTAGTCTTGGAATGGCAGGAGTGGCTTAAATATCCCACAAATCACATTCTTCAAAATATAGTAGTTTTTATCTATTATGCTGAAAATGCAGTGTCTGCCTTCGCCTGTATTGCTTATATTCTGATAATATCACAATGCCTGAGATATTTCAGTCTAAAATAAAACCTATACAGTATTAGGTACAGACATTTAAAGGGACAAATATTGTGGTAATATTTTCATTGTATGATCACATGACTGTAATTCTTTCTGGTGAGGGATATGAATCGGATCCATTTCCATCTTTTATAAATTGTCTTTTTTCCCATCCTCTTTTGATCTTTCTCAGTTTCCTGTTTATACATGGTAGAAGCAAAATTACCTTACCCAGAATTACCACGCAAGGCAAAACAAGCGCAAGAACAAAATTTGGTGGTGTGTAAAATCTGTAGCATTCTTCTTCAAAGGCTCTTTTCCATCCATAAATTAATACATGGAAAGTACTTATGAGAAGTGCGACGTATCCAAGTGTAGACTTTGAGATTTGAAGATGAGAAACAAATAAAAATTAAAATGCTGACATGATGATTTGCACTTATAGCTAACCATTAAAAGTTATTTATAAAAACTTAAACTATTATATATAGTTTAAACATATATACTCCAATTAACTTTTACAATTAACAAATAGAAGGAGAAAAATGAATGGAAAGCTCTTAAATATTGAACCACTCATTGGAAAGACCTTTCAATTTTTACCGGACTAGTACAAAATATGAGATATGCTCTACTGTTAGAAAGCAAAACTAGAAACAGAGTTTGTAAATTGCATAGTTTTACATAAAGACCCCCAAAACAAGCAAGGAAACAAATCAATAAATAATACATAAATTAGCAGATATCTTCCATGTATAATTCTTATGTATTCCTAAAATGTATTTGGAATAGCAATAGCAACAGAACTTAGATTTATATACTGCTTCACAGTGCTTTACAGCCCTCTCTAAGCGGTTTACAGAGTCAGCATATTGCCCCCAACAATCTGGGTCCTCATTTTACCGACCTCGGAAGGATGGAAGGCTGAGTCAACCTTGAGCTGGTGAGAATTGAACTGCCGAACTGCTGGCAGCCAACAATCAGCAGAAATAGCCTGCAATCCTGCATTCTAACCACTACGCCACCACAGCTCTTGGTTGAGCTATGATTTGTAATATCAGGACACTGTAATGGAATTGTGAATGTTTTTTAAAATGATATAAATAACAAAATATTAAAATTAGTGGAGCTTGCATCAATTTTGACTCCCTCTCATGCAGATGCTACTGTAAGGAATATGGAACTTTTTTTTTGCTTAAGCGCATTGCAGCTTTCATCAGACCCCTCCCTCCCCTTTTCTGTGATTTTAGTGAGTTTTACTAAAGGAAGAGGTGACTATCTTAAGCCATTGCAACCTTTGAAAGATTCATATGAACTCTTAAAATTCTGATACCCTCCTACTCTCAAATACACAAAAGACTGAAGTTTTTCTTCTCCCATACATTATGGAGGTCTTTGGGAATTGTGATAGGATAATTAATAAGTTGCATTTTTGTAGCATTTGTATAAGCCCTATAGTTGGCACTATTTTTAAAAAAATATTACAGATTGCAAAAACCTGAACCTTTCAATACTGAATGCCTACTAAAGATTTGTGCTAGATTAGACTTAGTATTTTAGTACACACCTGAATAAAACTGAATTCCCTCCAATTTAATGATCTATTTACTGATGGAATGGAAGTCACAGCCAACAGAGATAGCAGCCCAAGGCTCATTATTCCAAAAGAGACATACATTTCAATTCGCCATACTTCTTCCTCATTCCAGGAATTTTCAATATTTTCATGGACCTGGAGAAAGAGATTACGGAATCTTTAACATTTTTAACACATGTATAGAAAATTCTTGAAAATGAACTAGAATATCCGATGAGTTTTAAGTGTACCTGGTGAACTATCATGAATGGGAGCAAAGACGAGAGAGAGTTCATTAATTAAGAAAGAAGACTTTAGAAACTTTGGTAGATCTGACCCTTCTATGTTTAGAAGAAGAATAAATTATGCAAATTAAGAAATCAATTGTAATTCCTCTTATTTTGAATAGTATGTTTATAGCTCTAAATCGATCATTTGGAAAGTGGTGAGCAGTTTTCAGAAACAAGAGGGTGAACATTATTGAAGCTAAATCAATTTTTTAAAAAAGAAATAAATAATATTATATATATTATTATTCATCACTACATAATTAAGTGACTATACATAGTATAAAATGTTAACACATTTAAAAACCATAATTGAATGTTTCTTTCATGCAGGAAGAAATGTCTAAGCAATGATCCACACAGCTCAAATTAAAAATCACACATGCAGCAATGTCAGGGTGTTCTGAATTACCTGACCCAAAAATGATGTTTTTCTTACCTGTTGATAAGCTGTATTTAAAAACAGGTATCGTTCTGACCTCCTCATAGGCAGGCAGAGGCTGTAAACAACATGAACTGTTGCAAAGAAAAAACTAAGTAATCCAAGCTGTTTTCTACATTGCAGCCAGTTTTCTAACCAGGATGGAAACAATTTGTATTTAGTGCCATAATAAAGTTGATAAACAGCTGCCAGGAGCCCTGATAAATACACTAGAGATAATAAAGTAATTGCAACAACTGGCAATGTCTTGTTCACAATCTCAATAGGAATCTTATAAAAATCACTCTGGTGATTTCTCACGTAAGGGTGTATTACATCTCTAATAAAGGAATAGATAAAAAAGAAGGTGGCTAGGCCAACAGCCACTATAACTGGTCCTTTCCACAGGGTGAACAATTGAAGAGGTAAATTTTCAATCTCCCTTGCAGATGATAAAGTGCCCAAATCAACAGGAATAAAACTGAGCTGACGAGCAAGTTCAATAACTTGATTTCGAGCTTGAATGCTGTTACTGCATATGTAAACCTAAAATAAACAAACAGTCAATAACTACATGGTCTAGTCAAACTAGGGTATGTATGTAGGGTATGTATGAGATTTCCTGTAATTATCTTTAACTCAATTTTCCTAGCACCACCTCACAATTTACAAAGGCATTTGTAATTATTTTATCTATATTTTATTTTTATCTTTATTTCATGTTATATGAATCAAGGGTGCAAAATATATTGCCCAGGACCGTATATAATTCCCCAAATCTTAGATACATGCCTTTGAGCTCCACCAAATATTGATACTAAATGCAAGTTATTAAATACATGCAGCGTGACCAGTAAATCGGTGAATAATTAAAATAGTTTCAAAAAAGTATCTTGCTCTTAAAGCAGACACATCTTTTTTCAGACTGCTATAAAAGCACAAAAAAGATTTACATGCTTTACAGTAATGTATAGCAAATACTGTATGTGCTGTATTTATGCATGATCCAAAATGTTTCTTCTAAATTATTTTCAAACAACTCTAGCTGCATTAATTATACTTACTTTAGTTTTATTTAAATTGAAGGCATGTTGTCCAACCGTCTTTTGCTCTGGACTTATCCACTTTTGATTGTAGATTGATGAGCCAACCAAAGACCAAATGAGGCTCTCAATCTGAAACTCTCCTCTGCCTCCTGATAAAAATGAATGCTGAAGCTGCTATACTATGAAGATGAGAAATAATCTCACTTCATTTTTAGGTACTCTCATATGAAAAATTACAGCATTTTGTAGCAGAAGTTTCATGAGGTTTCTCATGTTTGTACTTGATAGTTAGGTATCATTTTCATTGTTTTAAATGCTGAAATGCATAACTTACCTGTCTGCTTGCATCTTTTGGTCCTACTTGTAGTGCCCATGCTGAAATAACATTGAACCCTTTAACAACAAAGGAATCTGGGAAAAGGGATGCCAGGTACTCCGCATTGGCTTCTGGATACTGATTAATTTTCATGTTGTTGCTGACATCTACAAGGATTTTACCAACAAGTAGATGCTTGAGTTCCCACAAAGCTGCATAGTGTTCTCTGCGTATAGCAATAAAAATTATGTTTGCTTTTGCTATAGCATCTTCATGATGAGTGACATCAACAACATGGGGAAAGAATTCCGCCACAAATTTAGGGTTTCTGCTTCCTATTACCACATGAAACCCACACCTGACAAGCCTACTTGTCAAGGATTTAGCGAAGTCCCCACTTCCAATTATGCCAACTGTAAGCTTACTGGTGTCCTTGATGTAATTTCTACCATTTGGTAAGAAAGTTTCATTTAAGGCTTTAGGACTTCCCATCATAGAAATTGATTCCATATCTAGGCACAGAAATTATAAGGATATTTTCTAAAAGAAAACAGAAACACACAATTAATACCCTACACAATTACTTTTCACTGATATATATTGAAACAAATTTCCTATACCAACACACACACAAAATTTAGAATGAGATGTAACATGCACATCTACAATATGAAAAACCTTATTTCTCTCCCGAAAGCTGGAAAGGAAATCTCTCTAACTCTTGTAAAAATAGGCAGGAAAAAATAGACTCTGATTCTAACCCTCCTTATATGTAGAGTAAAACACTAGACAGAGAAAAGTATTCAACAAATGTCAATCCTAGTTATGGAAAACAAAAACAACCTCAGAGAGCATTTGTGACACAATTTTAGAATTAAAGTTAAGTTTTCATGAGAATTCTTCAGGAATATATTTGTTTGCCAAAGTAGGCCTATCAAAATACAAAGAAAAAAATAGTGGGAAAATAGGGGAAGAAAAATGGAAGAAGAAAAAAGTGCAGGGTAAAAGGGAAAAAAGAAAGAAAAGCTTTAACTTCTGACTTTTCAGCGGAGTACAATAAGATAACAACATATAGCCTCAACGGTTTACTTTTAAATAATAATGTATTCTAGCCATTTCTATAACAATGAATGCAGTAATGCTTTGAACAAACATGGGCAAACTTATAGAATGTATCCAAAATCTGGGACCAATGACTCCCATGGATTGAAATTTGGCCAATTTTGTTTTTTAAAAAATGATAATCACGACATAATCACAAATCTCATTACAATTTGCTGTGGTGATGTTTGTGCTATACTGTTCAATATGGGCTATTTTCAAGGCAGATACATCTCTGAATGTATCCCAATTTTTCCAATGAAGACAGTATATTAGAAGCTCTGTATTGAAGGCATTGAGGAATCTTGTAAAAATCTATCCCTGAAACAATGATCCAATCGGGCATGGATTATCTAGTGCATTTGTCTCTGTGTATACATTTTTATTAAGAATTTTGATTATATTAATACAATATAATGTAAACCAAACAAAGACAGGAAAGGAAAGAAAAGAGTAACAAGTACAAAGAAATTTATTTATTTATTTAGCCTATGGCAAGTACAAGGAAAAAAGAAAAAGAGAGAACAAAAAAGTAAGGAAATACATAAAGAAATAAATCCAACATTCATCAAAAGTATAAACAAATTTAGTAACTCTTCACCCCTTTACGTTTGCAACATTTATCTCTTCATTTAATATCCCATCTTTTATTTATAAAGAAATCCATCACACATCTTTTCAGTCCTGGTGCGAACAGAAAGTCCAAAAAGGATTGCTACCGTGTTTCCCCAAAAGTAGACCTACCCGAAAATAAGCCCTAACTTGATTTTTGGGGTTGGACCTACTCCAAAAATAAGCTCTAGTTTGGGGATGAGGCACGTACCTAAAAATCAAGAAGGGGTGTGGAGTTGCCCCACGTGCCCCATACCCACTTACCTTGCAGCTAGGCCTCTCCTCGCCGGCCCATTTCTTCTGCGTCATCCCCAGGCCTGCATTTTGTAATCAGAGGCCTTTCAAGAAGGCCATTGCAGCCTTTGACTGCGAAATACAGGGCGGAGCCTCATTCTCAGCTGAAGAATGAAGCTGCTCCTTCAGCCGCAGAAGAAGTGGGCCAGCTGGGTGGGGCTGTCAGTGCCCAAGGTGAGTGGAAAAGACCCCCCCAAATAAGACCTGCTGCCCCTTTTGGAGGCAAAAAAAAAAAAAAAAAAGACCGGCTCTTATTTTCAGGGAAACATGATAGGAGTCATGGTAGCACAGTGGTTATAATGCAGTACTGCAGGCTCAAGGTTGACTCAGCCTTCCATCCTTCTGAGGTTGGTAAAATGAGGACCCAGATTGTTGGGGGCAATATGCTGATTCTGTAAACCACTTAGAAAGGGCTGTAAAGCACTGTGAAGCGGTATGTAAATCTTATTGCTATTGCTTTAACCTTTGCAAACCAATGCAAACGGAGTAATCACTGAGCCACATGCAGATCAACAAGAGAGTTGGATACACCCCAAGTCCAATCTTTTTACAAAAAAATAAAGGAAGTCTGGAAGAGTGTAGATGAACAGGAGTTGGGAAAAGGTAATTTCTCCAGTACAGGAGACGGAGACTCCACCAATGGGTTTTCTTTGTCTGCCTGCTCTTGAGACCAAGTATCCAAAACTTGTCATGCCCCCTCCTACTGGTAATCCAGTCTTAACTTGGTCTCCGCTCTTGATGACTCGTTTTGGCTTGGCTCTCTGCTAGATCAGGTTAGACAATTATTAATCCATTGGTGAAGTCTCCCTCAAATATTGGCTATCTCTAAAAAATTCATACTTAAATCAGGGATTAATGCAACTTCCCTCAGGCTGATAGCCGCTTGTTGGGAAGTGAGGGGTGAGGAGGGGGGTGGAATTTCCCTTCCTTCATCTCTCCCAAATTCTCAAATTAAAGTGGGGGGGGGGGAAGTAAAAGATCAACAGAGACTGCTTGTTGATTTTTTTCTCCACGTGCCCAGGTTTTTTCCCTCAGACATCTTGAGGGAAACAGGCAAGATCAGGACTCCTCCCAGGCCTTTCCAGACCTGTCGGAGTCCATTTCAACCGTCGAAATCTTGCGGCTGCCATTTTGGCTGCATTTTCAACGTTTGATTATTCAGCAAAACAACGAATTCCTTCGTTCCCAAATTGCAGCTATTTTGCTGTTAACGATTTCCCTGGGCCTGACATCGCCCCACAGGGTCCCTGGCAGGCCGTAGGATCGCCGGAGGCCTGTTTTCGGCCTCTCTACAAGTTGCGGCCGCCATTTTGGCCGCATTTTCGGCGCTCGAAAATTTCCCTTTTAAAACTTCAATCTTTCGGCCTGCGACTGTTTTGAAGCTCCCCTGCCCACTGTGACACTCTGCGGTCTCTGACAGAGGGCTAGAACCTTAGGAGGCCTGTTTTCGGCCTCCCGAAAAGTCGCGGCCGCCATTTTGAAGTCGCGGCCGCCATTTTGGCTGCATTTTCGGCGCCCGTAAATTTGATTTAAGACTTCAGCCTTTCAGCCTGTGGCTGTTTTGAGGTTCCCCTGACACTCTGCTGGTCTCTGACAGAGGGCTAGAGCTCTCGGAGGCCTGTTTCGGCCTCCCGGAAGGTCGCGGCTGCCATCTTGGAGTATTGTTGGCGCCCGACATTTTGTGACTCAGTCTCAACACTAGCGGTCAGATCAACCCTCTGGACACTTCATTGCACTTCAGGGAACCACAGGGTTGCGAGTGCAGCAGGCCCAGCGTGGGGGGGCGGCAGCACTTCCCTTCAGGCCTAAAGGGCCTGGCAGCAAGCTCCTCCTGAAACATTCAGCTGAGTGTGGGTTCCCCTTTTCCTTCACCCCGGTGGCCGCCAGTGCGCTTGAAATTGTTCGAGTTGGACCTCCGCATCGGGCGTCCTGACAATTTTTTGGGTTTTTATTTTTCTGGTGCACATTGCCTGGTCATCTAAGGCCTCCGGGAGGAGCCCATCAGTGGTTCCAAACGTGCCTTCGGCTCTGCCTCAACCACCGTGACCATAGTCCAGAGAGAATTTTCATTGGTCGGGTGACCAGGGGGGCAGTCCGCGCACTTGCTCCAATACCGCTTCCACCAACAACTTGCCTGCCAGAGCTTCATCTCAGCGCCTCGTCCTGAGATTGCTCAAACGGGATGGAAGGACCCTCGTTGCCCCAGTCTTCAGGCGCGAATCCTCCACCTCCCGGTCACGCGACGTTAGAAGGAAGACAAGTCTTCCGCCGTCCGTTCACGTTTCGGTTTTGGTTCGTGTGCCAATTCTTCAGGAGGTTCATGGCGGAAAAGCAAGCCAGCCGTAGGCACCAGGCCCTGGAGAAGGAGTTCTCCAGGGCACAGAGGCAAGCCCAAATGGATTTGGACGGCATGGCGGCCACCGAGATGGAGCTACCACTAGGTCCATCAACATCTAGTCAGGGGGTATGGTCCATTCCGGGTATGTCGGTGGCGTCACCTCTGCCCTCCGCCTCAGGTCACCAAGCCGCCGTTTCGGGCGTCATCCCCGAGCCCGTCGGCTCTCCAACGCCCTTTTTACCTAGAGGTCCTGACATAGGGGACATCTTCTCGGACGGGCGTCTGGAGGCTTTATTAGCCAAGGTGGTGGATAGAGCTCTGACACAGCGCTCACGTCCACACGATTTGGAAGCCACTGACTTGTCCGCTCACTCATTAGACCCCCCTATGGAGTGCTTGGCGGATCGAGGGCCTGATTCTCTGGCCCAGTCCTCTGGCAGTGGTTACTCATCACCTCATGAGGAGGAACAACCCGAGATTACCTTTTCAGAGGACGAGGAGCTCCCACCTGAGACATCTTCCTCGGGGGGATTATTCAATCCCAACCATTTCCTCACTATTCTGCGTAAAGCCACGGCCACGGCGAACATAGGGACTGATCAGTTTCCACAACCTCAAACTGATCCCACATCCGCGCCCAGGCCAATTTTCTTCCAAAAAGTGGTGACAGAACACCACGTCCCGTGCCCCTCAATTTTCTTACAAGAAATTAAAAAGCAATGGGCTTCCCCTTCCTCTTTCCCCTCTGCGAACAATTCGTATAAAAGATTGTACAAAACATCCACGGATCTTTCCGACGCACTGGACGTTCCCAAGGTGGATGAGGCCTGGACCCCTTTAGTTTCCCAGACGGCTGTGGCGGGGGATCTCTTAGAGGCACTCAAAGCCGATGATAAGAGGTGGGAGCAGACCTTCCGCAAGACACACCAGTCGGCGGCATGGGCCACCAAAACGGCAACCTCGGCATCCTTTTTTGTGTGTACTACCCTTCTGTGGCTTCAACAGCTACAGGCTAGGGTGCCCGTTGAAGACATCAGGACGCACCAGGACCTGGCCAAGATGGTTGCTGCTACAGAATACGCGGCGGATGCGACGCTACAATCGGCAGTGTTTTCTGCCAGAACCATAGCTTCCAACATGATTGCCAGAAGGATGCTATGGTTGA